TCTTGGAGCTTTGTGCAACCTCTGAGGAACATGCTGAGCTCGGAGGACTTGCTACCAAGGCTTCTGCTGGTTCTTTCAAATCCTCCTTCTTCACTTCCTCGGGAGTATGCTTGCTTTCAGGCTTCTTTCCCACTGGCTGCTTACATTCCTTTCGAACTGCAAAGCTGGAGGCCTCAGACTGTGGCAAGACCAGGTTTAAGGCAACCTGGCCTTTGGGGGATTCTGGCTGTCCAGACAATATATCAAGGAGCGTTTCTGCCTTGGCGGCTGTGTGATCACGTTTTTTCCCTTCCTCTATTGTATTGGACATCATCACTATTTCCAGCTTCTCTTCTGTCTCGGAGAACTCTTCTTCTTCTTCTTCTTCCTTCACCCGTTTCTGCTGCTGGGTTTCCATGGTGAGCTCCAAACTCCCAGCTGGAGAAAGCATCCGCTTGCTTCCTCCAGCATTTGATGGGCTCCCTTCGAGATCCAAGATTCCTTCAGACATGGGGCCCAGGGGAAAGTAGCCTTTGCTTTCCGATAGAGAAAATGGCAGCCGCAGGTACGGACTGTGGATCAAAGTTTTCTGCTCCTCTGTAATCATTTGTGCCAGATCAAGGCCAACACTGTGAACGTTAGCAGTGCAGACCAGAGTCCCCTTGGCCTGATAGTCCTCAAATTTTGGCAGTAGGATTGAAGAGGCGCTACAGTGGGACTGAGTGACTAAGATTTGGGAAAGAGTGGTGTACATTGCGCTTCCGTAGGACGGCATGTTAGCCTGGATGCGAACTGGGACAACCAGGGATACCACAGGCTCCGAACAGGCGGGTACCACCAACTGAGAAATGGAGATGGACGCAGAGGGACTACTTGGCCGAGTTAAAATATGCAGCTGGTTCTCAGTGCCGTAATCTATAGATGGCGAGAAGGTACGGCTTCCGATTTCAGGAGAGAGGCTGGATTTGAGATGGGGCAAGTGGGCACCAATGTCACTTGGCAGTTGGAGAGCAAGCTGTGACTGAAGAGGCAGAAACAACGCAGAAGGGAGCGGCGAAGATCCTGGGTAATGCAAGGGCAAGATCGACGGGCTCGGCCTGATGACGATATCAGCTGGGTGCGACAGCAGCGGAGGGGCTATGTGTAACTGGCCTGGATGCAGCAAAGCTTCTTGGAGAGGAAGAGCTGCGCTCTGAAATAAGGAATGAGGGACGTGAGGGATGGAATATTGACTGGAGAAGATGTCTGCCATGGTCTGAGTGGAGAAAAGCTCAACTGAATGCTTTAGAGGTGGCAAAAGATGCTGGAATGGTAAGAGAGAGATCTGTGGGCCCATGTACTGTTTTTCATGGAGGGTTAAATGAGGGACAGGCGGATGGACCACTTGCAGAGCTTCAGTGTAGGGATATGTACATGAGGACTCGGGACAGTCTTTTGGCTGGTCCTTGTCAGCTGGGTACCCTCTGTGAGAAGAGAAAGAAGAGGAAGAGGAGGAGGAAAGCGGCTGTTGAGGTGGCAAGCTTGCGGCAGGAGACTGAGTTGAAGGTTGCACGGATTCCTCTGTCTCAGCTGATCCTTTGGAGGCAGAGTCTGGCTCATGCTCTGGATGCCTTGTGAGAGATGCCTGCCGGACCAAAAAGCACTTTCTCCTCTCCGGTGGAGCAGTGGTTGTGGTTGGAGTTTGGGACGTAGAAGGAGATGAAGACAAACTCCCATAGTCAAATGATTTGCTGCGGATCTCTGACATTGGAGAGGAATGTGAGACATTGGGTGTCTGTTCAGAAGCAGACCTCCTCATTTCTCGGGAATGATGGTGATGGTGGTGGAGATGGGAACTTGGTACTGTTAACATGTGGGGGCCAGGGCCAAGGCCAAGGGGTTTGCCATGGGATTCAGAGAACTGAGAAGCAGTTTCCTCTCGCTCAAAGGAAGTTGAGTGACTAGAAGCGTGGGAGATGCTGCTTTCCTGACTTGGGCTTCGGATGGACTCAAAACTGGATTCTCCAGAAGACTGGGCCATTTCTGCTAGCCGTAGCCTCTTCTTTTTGGGTGGCAATTTCTCTGCAGGAAGTTGGGAGAGAGACTGGCTTCTCTGTGGCCACTGGAATGTCTCCATCTTTTCTGGCTCTTTTGGTGGAGGTTCTGGTTCCATTTCTGGCCGATCAGGTTCTTCAGTGACCAGAATCTCAGGGACTTGAATATTAGGTTGACGCACAAGCTTTGGCTGAAGAGAGTGAGTTGGTCGGCCAAGGTGGACCTCTGGTTGGGAGGCATAAGGCAAGAGCAGCTTTTCTTCTTCTAAGCTACTGTGCTGTTCTATGGAATCGGACTTCTCAAAGGAACTTGTATGTTGGATGACAGAGATCTCTTTTGAGGTTGTTCTCCTCTCTTTGCCTTCTGGAGTAAATGGGAGATTTGCAGTTCTAGGATGAAAACTTGTACTAACACTGGAAAGAGGCACAGATTGAGTGGGATCCATTGCTGGCTTCACAGACTTGGAAGTGAGGTTCAAGACCACCTCACTGGGTTTCAACCCAATAAACTGAGTGGCTGGTCCACTTCTAGAAAAGGATGGTTCAGTCAACTCAAAAGCTGGTGGATCTTCATCGTCACCAAGACTCTTTTCTTTCCGCCTCTTCCTCAGTGGAGTCAGTTCTAAACTAGTTCCCAGCTTATAATGCATCACTTGTGGCCCTGGGTCAGATTCCATCAACCCTTTCTCCATTTCGGACAATGTATATGAACTGGAAGAATGAGGTTTGGAGATCTGAAGTTCTGAACAATAGTACTTCTTGTGGGCTTCATAATTATCTCTTTTCTTGTACCGAGCGCCACAGATATTGCACTCGTACATAAATCCTTTTGTTTTGGTGCCCTTCCTTGACTTTTTGGTCAACTCACTCTCCTTGGTCTCTTGTTCTTCTGAAGGTCTGGAAAAGCTTTCTTTGCCTGCTGCGCCAACCTCTTCTGAGCTGTACTCCATTCCGAATGGTAGCTCAATAGCTGGCTGCCGTTTTAGCATCCGGGGGTGGGAAGACATCTGACTGCGGCTAAAGACCTCCGATTCAGCAATGTGATCGTCAAAAGAATAGCTACCTCTAAAGGAGTGAGAAGAACTCATAGTGCATACAGCTGAAGGCATAGAGTGGCTTCGTAGAAGAGGCACTGTCTCCGTGGCACTGTGGGATGGTTGGAACGATAACAAGGATGGTTCAGGCTTCATTTTTTCAACGTGGGATGTCAGTGACTTGGATGGGTCTGGTTGGCTACTGGAACCAGGTTTGATGTCCAGCTGAAACGGTTCTCTGTAAGAGCCAGGCTTTGGAGATTCGATACTGCTCCGTCTAGACAAAGAACTCCTTCTCGGTTTAACACTATCAATTTCACTAGTATCAACAACTGCCTCGTTGATAGTGATCAGCTTGGTGATATGTTCAATAACCTGTGTCCGAGGCACAGACAAAGGAACGGCACTCAACTTTTCTTCAGACGATACTGGGGGGAATTCTTGGGCGGTGGTTGTGGCCAACATAGCAGTCCGCTGGCCTATCCGCCCACATTTGCCAAAAATGATTTCCGCGTAGGATTTCGCATTAGTATTTGGCGGGCTGATTTGCTGCTCGGCGCTCTCTGATCTTGAGAAGTAGCCCGATTCGGTGCTTCCTTTACTGCCAGGACTAAGGAAAGCTTGTTCCTCGATAACTTTCTTCCTCTCGCTCAGACGGAGGGCGAGCTTTTGTTTGATAGTGTGTGTTTCTTCCGATTTATGACTTTGGGCAAGGTCTGGTGATGGCTCCACGAAAGCACTGCTGTCGTCAAGGGATTGAGACATGCTAGAATGGGCGAAAGAGGAGCTTTCTTGGCTTGAACCTTGACTTCCTGCACTGTACAACATAGTTTGCTTTCGCCTGGTCGACAGTTCTAACAAATGGCCCGGAGTGCTTCTGGTCTCCTCTTCAGAATCTGTGCTTTCTCCTTCTGTGGGCTCTTCAAATTCCTCCCCGCCCATCTTCTCCACCTCCAAGCTGGAAGGGTACAATTCTGTCGCAGTCCCTGAAGATAACCCAGCTTTGATGCGATGGGCGTGAGATTTTCGGTGCTTGTACAAGTTGCTTTTTGTTTTGAAGGAAAAGCCACAGGGAACACATGGATAGGGTCTCTCGCCTGTGTGGGATCGGATGTGTTTCTGAAGAACACTTGGTTTGGCACAAGGCCGGCTACAGTACTGGCAAATGTATTTGCCTGGCTTCTGTGGCTTCTTTTCCTTCTTGTGTCCTTCTTCAGAGGGCTTCAAAGAAACCTGCAAACTACGAGGGATGTAGACCTTTTGAACAGGGGGCTTGTCTTCTTCAGTAGAAACCGAGGAGCAGGATGGTAAGATCTGACCGTGACTGGAAGGGAGTGCAGAAGAAGGGAATGAGCCAGAAGGAACTGATCTTGCTGGATCAACAAGCTGCCAAGTAGGGCCTTCAAGAATGCTCTCTTGCTTTCGGGGAGTCCTGTATGCTGGTGACAAGGAGTGCTGCTGAAGTTGGGCCACGTGGGATGGATGCTCAAAAGAGGAATGCTTGGGTTGAGCTTGTCCTGCCTTCTCCTGAGCCTCCTCCCTTGAAAAACGTGGCTGGGGTGCAACATCGTGGAGGGGAGAGCCTGGCAGCACAGCAGAGCTGCTTGGATAGGGAGTCATGGAGGAGACATTGCTTTGAAAAGCTTCTCCTTTCACGAGCCTTTTCCTTGGAGCCTCATCCCCCTTTTTTGTGCTCCTCTTGCTTTGTTCAGGATCCATGGCCTTTGAAAGGGGGAGCGGGGTGGGGGGTGGAGGGTGGGGGATGGATTGGAAATGCTATTTCAGGAAACTGTCACCAGGCTTCATTTACAGCAAAGGGAGGTCTCCCCTGTAGCTTTCCTGCTTGGCTTGCATCGGAGATGAAAGCAGAGCTGCCAAAGGGCCACTGTAGATTCAAGATTTCAAAGTGTCACAAGTTGCTATTTGATTGGGGGGGGGGGGGGGGGGGAACCCAGAGGGGGGAGGGGGGGGGGGGGGGGGGGGGGGGATGTGGGTCAACAGAGTTCACACTGGTAAAGCATGACAAACTACTTCAAAGCAGGAAAACGGTCCAAAAGTTGCAGTCCAAATATTTTCCTTGCGAATTGTGCTGCTGAAGCTTTAAACCGAGCCATGGCAGTGCCGTTGACTGTGGCAAGTCTTCAAAGGACAAGAAGCAGCCCAGGAAGTGCCTCCTGTTCTTTTCTCATGCAAACCTTGAGGTTCCTATGTTCGTCTTGCAACCATCCGTCTTCTGTGTCTTTCCTTGGCTTGGGGAGGGAGGGAAAAATACACACAGAGACGGCAGGCTGCAGCTTTGTCTTGGTGAGCATGTGCGTGCAGTTCTCTCTTCCTGCTCTTCCACTTTGATGTTCAGAGACCTTGGAAGAGGTTACCACTCACCTTTCTGAAACGACAACAAAGAGAGGGACACATTCAATTACTGTCATTCCCAGTTCTCCTACTTTAAGCTGTCAAAAAAGGCAGAGATTTGAGTCCTTTTCAGGTAGCCAGTTAGACAGGTGACAGACCAGACTTGGGGAAAGGAAAGAGCTGCACAGAGAAGCCCAATCCTTTCTCCTCCTGACTTCCATGCTGGAGGTCTCCTCTCCTGGAGAAAATACAGCATATTCATGTTTACCTGGACTCAAGGATCTCTCCCTGCCTGGTCTGAGAAACCACAGTCCCAGTCTGCACAAAACATTCGTGCAAACTCAACCTCAATGATGTGGAGGTCATTAGAAATTAAAGAGTGGGATTGAACACGAGACCTTGTTCTCTACTCTTTCTGTGGGAGATAGGTTGGCAGCTAGTTTCCAGGGCGGTATGCCAAAAACATCAACAATGTACAGTCAGCTACCTTGCAGAAATCTGCAAAGGAAAGCTCAGTAAATGGGTGAAAAGGAAAGAAGCAAAAGCACTTAGACTTATATAGCACTTTACAGTGCTTTTACAGCCCACTCTAAGCAGTTTACAAAATCAGCCTATTGCCCCCAACAATCTGGGTCCTCATTTTACCCACCTCAGAAGGATGGAAGGCTGAGTCAACCTTGAGCAATCAGGGTTTAAATTAAATATGTTATTTGAAGGAATTGCACCTTCATTTTGTTAGAGGGCCATCAAGTGTCTATATTGTTAAAGATAATCTTCTAAAGATAGGACATTTTTAACCACCATCCATGATGTTTTTTGCCAATTTTTGCCCCCCATATGCCCATTCAGATAAATGGGTTTGTTTAATGACCTTTGCATTCATAAAATTATTGCTATGAAAAAAGCCAGAAATTCACTTCTGATCATGTGATGTCCTGACTTGTGGCCGCAATGACTTACAACTGTAATTATGGTCATTAGTCAAGGACTACCTGGATTTAGCCAAGCAAGTATCTAAAACAATTGAGTCAAAATTTTAGCCAAATGTAAGCCAAGGGAGTCTTGACATTTAACTAGAGTGTGATTCCTTCAAAAGTAACTTTTGAGGCACAGGAAGTGTGGGAATCCAACTCATGTAATTTCCTGCTTTGGGGACAGAGGTGAACAGGTGCACCTTCAAACTTGAAGGCGTGATCCAAATTAGACAACTCAAAACAGACTCCAAGTCAGATTTTCCAACAATTTTTCTAAGGCATCAGGTCCCCCAACCTTTCCAGATGAGCGCACATGTGCGGCTCCATTTGCGTGAGTGGCGGGCACGCATACCAGTGGTGGGATTCAAATTTTTTTACTGGTTCTGTGGGCGTGGCTTGGTGGGCGTGACAGGGGAAGGCTTTCTGCAAAATCCCCATTCCCTCCCCACCCCACTAACCTGCTTTCCAGCTCCATTCTCCTGTGCAGGGCAACAAAAGAAGACCCAGCCTATCAGCTGGGACTTGGGAGGCAGAAAAGAGATGGGGGCGGGGCCAGTCAGAGGTGGGATTTGCCGGTTCTCCAAACTATTCAAAATTTCCTCTACCGGTTCTCCAGAACTGGTCAGAACCTGCTGAATACCTACCTCTGATGCACAGTCACCACTCGCACAAATGAAGCTTTGCACACTGGCACGCTTGCCCGCTGCTCGTGCAAATAGACCTGCGCACATGCTCACCCATTGCTTTTGCGGCCCGGTTCTGAATGGGCTGCAGCCCAAGAGTGGTCTGTGGCCCAGGGGTTGGGGACTCTTGTTCTAAGGTGTTGAAAAGCCAGGATGAGTGCTTGGGGTTGAGTCAAACCAGTAGCAAGATGGGGAGGGAAGCTTCTTATCTGGAAGGGTAGCGAGCAACCATTCACTTCTTCCTGAACTTCAGCAGTATAACTACTGCTCAGATCTCCCCCAACTTTTAAAAGTTGTGCATTCTAGTTGCATTCATGCAATTAGAACTCTGCACCAAAGTCAGGAATTATCCCACTGAAACCAATAGGTGACATTCCTGGATATGCATGTCAAATATCCAGTTCCTTGGCTGCAGTTTAAGTAGACATCCTGGAGTTCCATTGTTACTGATACTTGTTGATGTTATAATTTAAAATAAAAGCACATTAAACCAATAAACACAGCAGCAGATGTACTCCAGAAAGCACGTGTAGCCAAGATGACCCCAATTTGTACATGGTCACCATAACAACATATTGCATTTGATTTAACGAAATTAAGCTCAATTTTTCCTCCTTGCAGCAGCTGCAAGCTGAGTGACTTAATAAGGATTGGTACTTGCATTTATCAGGGAAAGAAAATGTGTTTGTCTGCTTAACATTAGAAATCTCGGCCAACAGAGGAAGAAGCTGATGTTCTTTGGGACTTGCATAAAGGAACACAAGGGGGGAGCAGAAAACTGCATGGAAGATCTCCAATAACAGTAAAGACTCAGAAAATTTCTCATCAGTCTGATGATGCCAACCTTAATCTAGAGCCACTGCAGGCACAATCCAGCTTTTAGGGAACAAAGAAAGTTGACTTCTTTTGAAGCAAATTCTTGATGCACTTAGCAGCCATTTCAGGTTTTGGTCTGCAGTATTTCCAAAACTTTCTGATGATGCTGGCATTTAAACCTGCCACTTTCTGCGGCAAAAGCACTGTGCTGAGTATTTCCCAAAGGTGCTTTTTTAAGAAGGCAACTGGACTTTCTTGTTTTTTTCTTTTGAAGATGTTTTGCTTCTCATCCAAGAAGCTTCTTCAGCTCTGGCAGGATAGCGGGGAATGGAAGGATTTATATTCCTTGCAGACAGCTAGTCATTTGCACTCTTTTAGAAAGTCATTAAGGCACTTGGAGGTTTATCTGTGTCCTCAGGGTCACCTGAGTAGTGCTCCTGGTTCCTGTAATCTGCATTTTTTTTGTCTGGAAATGCGTTCCTACTCCCACACCATTCAAAGAGCGTTCATCCCAAATTGACCCTCAGGACACAGATAAACCTCCAAGTGCTTCAACGACCCTCTAAAAGGATACAAATGACCAGCTGTTTGCAAGGAATATAAATCCTTCCATTCCCCACTATCCTATCAGAGCTGAAGAAGCTTCTTGGATGAGAAGTGAAACATCTTCAGAAGAAAAAACAAGGAAGTCCAGTTGCTTCCTGAAAAAGCACTTTTGGGACAACCATGATCTGGATGACTGAGAATCTCTACATACATTTGCTGAGTATAGTTCCAATATATGGGTTTATTCTTTAAAGTAAGAATGCTAAAAACAACAATCCAGTAACATTTAAATAAGTTTGCATAGTAGTTAACATTCTTCCCAATGGGGACTGAAAATGTAATGCCCACCATATATCAAACCGGGTATCAGTCTTATCAGGTCTGTAGAGTCCACACAGCCGGCAGCAATCAGCTGGGGCAGTTGCAAAGAGACTGACTCAGCAAGTGGAGATGGGACATACTTTAGTGCAGGGGTCACCAACCTTTTGGACTTCAGGGACCACCAAACTCGTCTTTTTAAATCTTGCAGACCAGAGACCATGGGAAAATCACTAAAGAAGTCTGCAGGAAAATTCCCCACCCCGTTTTCCTACCAATCGATCATTCTTTATTTGGGATCGCAGGATACTGTCTCCAGTTCCATTTTCAGGGAGAGAGACAGAGAGACAGAGAGAGGCAGAGAGAGAGAGACAGAGAGAGACAGAGAAAGAGACAGAGAGACAGAGAGAGAGACAGAGAGACAGAGAAAGACAGAGACAGACTGTCAGCTGGTGCTCCATTCAAAATCCCAGAAAGAAATACTTAAGACTCCTTTAATCAGAGAAAAGATATCTTTTACTGGAAATCAAGTGGTAGCAACAAAAGAATTCTGAATCTGAGAAAATGGGCGCATAAATCACATATACAAAGTAATGGCAACGTTCCCACCCCCAATAGTTCAATTGGCTCATCCAATTAAAAGTTGTGTAGATCATCATGTGGGCATCTCCAGGTGGTGATGAGGCTTCTGTCCGTTGACCTTGACATAGTTTGATAAAGGGTTGCAGCTGTGCATAGCATAGGATAGAAACCTAAGCAAGAATGTACCCCCCCCCCCAGTTTATACAGTTCTGGTTTGTAACACCTCCAGCTCACTTCCCACAACCATTCCCTCCCCCCGTTACTTATGACAGCCGAAAGATGCAAAGCAAAGGGAGAAAATCTTGAAGGCTGATACAGACTGACTGACTTTTGGCTTCATGCAAGGAAAGCGGCAGAAGCAGCAGAAGTCTTTCTTTCTCTCCCCCAAACTCTGTCGGAAATGAGTCTTTGTGAGACTTGTCGTGCTGACGCAGCCTCTTGGAGCAGGATGCCTTGCAGGGTCCCAAAGACTCATTTCTGGTGGAGTTTGGGGGAGAGAAAGAAAGACTTTTGCTGCTTTCCTTGCATGCAGCCAAAAGCAGAAGAAGAAAGACGCAGAAAGAAGCAGCCCAGTGGCCAAGCCAGGAGTGTGGGGTGAGTAAAACAAGTCCCCCCCCCCGCCCTTTCCCTCCTCCCCTCACTATCTCGTGTTGTTCACAATGCAAGCGACACAAGTCTTGTGTTCCCACGGGCCATGTGGGCGGTGCAGCCTTGTGTTCTCGCGCAGCCTGGATTAATTGCTTCTGGGAGTGCTTTGGGGGTGATATTTCTCTGCGGACCACCAAAAAAATTTCACGGACCACCAGTGGTCCCTGGCCTACTGGTTGGCAACCACTACTTTAGTGGTACAAGTGTTTGTTGTTCAGTCATTGTAACTGACTTTTTACAACCCCATGGACCATAGCATGCCAGGCCACCCTGTCTTCCACTGTCTCCTAGAGTTTGCCCAAATTCACTTTCTTTGCTTCGATGACATGACCTAAGCATCGCATCCTCTTCTACCTCCTTCTCCATTTGCCTTCAATCTTTCCCAACATCAGGATCTTTTCCGATGAGTCCTCTCTTCTCATTAGGTGAACAAAGTATAACTATACATAGCTATGTGTGTATAACTATGAGCTCATGCTACAACAGCCTCTGAAACCAATTAGAGCAGCACGTCTCCCCCCTCCCTTTAACAGCAATGAAATAGGGGAGTACAGCCTTCTGATAGCAGAAGAGAGCTTGCTTTTAATTCAATGGCAAAACAGAAAAGAAAAAAAGCACCCCAAAAGGCAAAGGGAAAACACCAAAAAATTCTATCTCTCTGTCTCATCTGCAGACATCCCAGCCACATCACCTCTGGCCCTCAGCAACAGAAAGACTAATAATTGTATGCAGTAGGTACTGTGAGGATTTGAATGCAAATGTCAGAGGTATAATTCAGGACAAGCAATGAATGATGTGAAAGACTTGATACGCCCTCAGGCTGAGGAAGAGAGTGGGCAGGCACAATGGTAGAACAGATAGGCAAATCATCTAACCTTGATTTAAAGGCAAACTTCCTTTGTTCGGAAAATGATGGCTTCTACTCATTTCTCTGAGCAACTGCCAGTCAGTAGGCCAGGATGTGTCACTGACAGAAGCTCCATGGAGAAATCTGTAAATCCATTCTCTCTACAAAAAAAAAAAAAAAAAAGTCAACAAGACTGGTGTACAGAAAAGGAGAGAGAAAAAATGACCCAAGTATCAAATAAATTTAACATTAAATATATAGAATCCACCCCCACTGGATGTTGCAAAAAAAAGAAAACATGATAAATTCTCCTCCCCTTTACTTATAAATAATTATAAGCTTTGCTGTTGTTCGTGCTGGATGTATGTTTTTTTGTTTTTTTGTTTTTCTGCTTTGTATTTTATTTTTTATGATGAAACAAAATACGTATATATTTTTTTAAAAATGCCAAATGCTTGTGACAGGTTGCTTGCTTTTAACAAACTGCAGGCAGCTTGCAAAGGCCAGCTTATGGGGCCTTTTGTCCCTTACAACAGGAATCCCCAACTCTCAGGCCATGGCCTGTTCAGAACTGGGGCGTGTAAATAGCAGCTGAGCACATGCAGGTATGGGTGCCTGCCACTCGCATAAATGGAGCTACATGCTCGTGTGGAACCATCCTTCCCGCACTGCCCCATGCTGGTCCACAAAGCCAGAAAGGTTGGAGGCTGCTGCCTTACAAGTCCCCTCATTTCCCTCACAGTTGCTTGAATTATAAGTCCACCTCACTTGAAAGGCTTCAGGCTGTGGATGACAAAAGCAGATTTTCTTTTGACCAGAACTGGTGGAACAGCACCCTGCTCCTAAAAGCCCATCATCGCAGCTTGCCATTTTTTATTTTCAGTACAGAGGTACGCTCTTCTAAACAAAGCACCGGTGCAATCACCATCCATTTATAAAATATAGAATAGAATTCTTTATTGGCCAAGGGTGATTGGACACACAAGGAATCTGTCTTTGGTGCATAAGCTCTCAGTGTACATAAAAAATACATTCATCAAGAATCAGTTATAGGGAAATAGACGGATATGATCAATGATATAAGAAAGGCATGTTGAATTGGTTAAGGAAATAATATTGTCATTATTATTATTGATGCTGTTATAATTCACATCAATGTAATGAATATTGTTGCAAACATTTTGATTATTATATCAAATATATAATATTTGTACCCAGACAACACACTGATCAATTGAGACTGGAATTTTTATATGCTATAAAAATAAAAACTCAAAACACTAAGAATCATAAGGTACAACACTTAGTGATACTCATAAGATACTAAATAAGCAATCAAATCATACCAGGAAACTAAATAAAACAACCGTAAAGATACAAGCAACAAGGTTGTAGTCATAAGTAAGAGGAGATAGGTAATGGGAAGGATGAGAAGAATAATAGTAATAATACAGTCTTAGTGAATAGTTTGACAGTGTTGTGAGAATTAGTTGTTAGGTGCCAAATTTTCAAAGGACAGGTCTGAGGAACACTGGCAATCACAGGCATGAAGTTGTACAGGTGTGACTTGCCCACAACACCCCACTGTTCTGTTCCTTGAATCCCACATATATTTCAGATAGAATCACGAACATTCAATTTGGCCTACATTTCTTCTTGGTTACTACAACTGTACCATAAGGGACTCCTTGCTATTCATGTAGTCCTTGACTTACAATAGTTTGTTTACTAACCGTTCGGAGTTAAAACAGCATTGAATACATGACCATTTTTCACCCTCACGTGATCATGTGACCAAAATTCAGGTGCTTGACAACTGACTAAATACGACAGTTGTGGTGTCCCGGGATCAGGGATCTTTTGTGACCTTCAGACAAGCAAAGTCAACGGGGAGGCCAGATTCGCTTAACAACTGTTACTAACTTAATATCTGCAGTGATTCACTTAACAACTGGCAAAAAGGTCATAAAACGGGGAAAATTCATTGAACAACTGTCTTGCTTAGCAACAGAAATGTTGCTCATAATGTGATGACCCAGACTGTAACACAAACGTAACAAGATCTAAAACGTAAATAAATGTCCTTTAATGCCTCCAACTTGGCCCCACTGTTCAATAATTCCCAGTTGGAGATAAAACGTACTCAAAAATAGTCTTCAAAAGAAAGCAATACAATCCGAACTTAATGAGCAGATAGAGGTGAAATAAAAAACCAAACAAACTACAATGATGAAATTTCCACAACAGAACAGAAGTATTTACCAAATTCAAGGAAATAACAAGGCACAGTCTGTTGGAAGGATGCCAAACAAGATAACTTTAGACCAAAATGAAACACGCTTTGTTTCCAGCGTTTGCCAGTACGCAGGTCCAAACTCTTATTCAGTTGTCACACCTGCAGCCCATGAAGAGGATCAAGGCCCTCTCCTCCCAAGTAGATCATGTCTCTCCCTTATCCTCTCCTCCCTACGTGCCCTAGGATGGATAGGGGATGGGCCTGGGTCCTCCTCTGACTGCCCAGCCGGCCTCTGCCCTTCCCCAGCCTCCTCCACCACCTCTGGAGTCACACTTCCACTCCCTGTCAGCTGTTCCTCCTCTCCCTCAGAGTCAGTCTCCACTAGGGGCATGACACATAAATCAAGGACTACCTGTATAGAGATCTGCCAATTTTTTCAGCAGCCTTTGTAGCTTTTCTTTTAATTCTTTTTGACAAGAGCAAAGAGGTAAATACTATCACTACCTCCTTACTATAAAGATAGGAGGAATTGTGTGTGAGAGTGAAAGGCACAACTTTGCTTTTCAGTTTTTCCTTTGTTTTGGTTTCCCACTTATTAAGGAAATGCTATGTTTCTTCTTCAATCGATGAGAGAATTAAGCAAAACGGACTTCATGTTTTTAAAAATAAGGGAGGCATGCATTGTGGGGGTTTTTTTCATCCCCAGCTAGACTGAGTGGGGACAATATGAAATGCAAAGTGAAAATAATCCAGCATCAACAGAGCGGTGGATTTCTTATGGATCACTTCTGGTCTTCCAAACCTGTTTTTCTAGACCCCAATGTCTAAAACAGTATTGTCAATATTAGTCAGAAAATCACCTTTTTAGTGCTCTAACAAGTTTTCTGTAGAAAGATGTAAAATTAGCTACTTTCACTTCTGCAGTTTCTAGTGCCACTTATTCTGCATTAAAATAATCCTTCCCAAAATCTCAAAAAAAAAAAAAATGGTTTTAAACATTGGGCCTATGAGGATGTTACCATTTCATCAACAGTTCTAAGGGTACTGCAAGTAAAGAGAAAGGATGTTGGTAAAATTCATTGAACAGATTAAGCATATTTCAACAAACATCTCTACAGAACAAGAATCTTGATTTCCAACTTTAAGACAAGTCGGGTGTATGTGTACACACATACACAGACACATCCCAACATACACACCTGCTCCACCTAATGGTAGGAGAATGGGGAATACTTACAGCAAAATTGATCTTCAGTGGCTCTAATGGTGTTTGTGCTTCTTTTTTAAAAATGATTTTTGCCCAGGGCTTAACTCAACCTGTAAAACAACAAAAACACATGCTCATCAGAGAAATGCATTTCACATCAAAATAGCATTTGACAACGTGAACAAGATCTGGAGCTCAAATTAAACACCTTACCCAGAAACAAATACAAGACACAGCTTTGATGCTAAGAGTTGGTTTATTTCACATTATACATTTTGGAATTCATAAAGATTCACTTTAATGTGGGGTCAGGATGACGGCTGCAAATTGGGTATGATGAAATCTATCCCATAAAATCTATGAGTGAGACTCAATTTTGGCAGGAAGATTTGGATTTAAAAAAAAAAAAAATCTGGCATGTTTCTCTACATAGATTGCCCATGATAGGAGCCACAGAGTGTTTTATCTGAGACACGTTCAGACCAGGAAAAATGTCTGACAAATTCAAGAGTAAATTGTATAACAGAATAACAGAGTTGGAAAGGGACTTTGGAGGTCTTCTAGTCCAACTCCCTGCTCAAGCAGGAGACCCTATACCAGGGGTGTCAAACTCAATTACATTGCCTGTGAAAATGGGCTCCCGAGCTCCGTTTTCAGCTACCAAGGCCTCCTGCAACCCTCTGCCAGTGAAAATGGAGCTCAGGAAGGCTGCACGCAGCCCCCCCCGACCTTGAGTTTGACACTCCTGCCCTATACCATTTCAGACATGTGTGTGTGTGTGTGTGTGTGTGTGTGTGTGTGTGTTGGTCCAAACAAGAACCAGACATCATCGCCCCCTGAATTTGATCTTGAAACATTTTAATTCAAAGGAAAATAAATAAATGTTAAGTAGCTCATTTAAGAAACCTTGGCACTGGAAGTTGCAGAAGTCTCAAGAAGACACAAAAAGTTATTTGGGGTACTGATGGCTCACAAGTGAATATCTATCACTGCATTTTGAAAGAGTTGGAATGCAGTTCCTGCAGATTAGCTGTATAGGTCATCCACACGCTTTTCTTGCAAAGAGATACACAAGTATTTTTGCCCAGGTGACAGAATGCTGCTAAGCCACATAGGATACAACCGAAAAAGAGTACTATAAAATTTTGGTCACTTTGTGAACTAAAAAGAAAACAATTTTGCAACAGCAAGTCAATTTGAAGCAGAAGGCAAGAAATAAAATCCAAAAAAGTTTCTCTTTTAAGTCTAAAACCACAAAAAGTCTTTAGGCACAAGGCAACTCTAGCTTTGCTCACTGTCTGGAAATCTTGGATGCCTGCAAATTTTACGTCCATTTAGCTGCCAGGGGGAAAAAAGGCATAAATTAACAGGACTGTATATATAAATTCTAGCAGAAGTGTCTTCTGTGCCTGCATCAAAGACTAGAAACGGCTCAGCATGCAACCTATTGGTGCCTTGAGAGGCCTGTTCAAAAGGAAGGTTTCTTCCAATGCTTCTCACAGCACTATAATATGGTCACAAATGCAGCCCTAACCATACTGAATATAGAACATAGAATAACAGAGTTGAAAAGGGCCTTGGAAGTTTTCTAGTCCAACCTCCTGTTCATCAAGAAAGCCTTGTGCCATTTCAGTCAAATGATGTCCAGTCTCTTCTTAAAAGTGTCCAGAGATTGAGCACCCACAAATTCTGGCCTCACTGAAGCCCATAGGACAATTCTGAGCTGCCCCGCAGGGAATGACTCCACAGTGTAAACTATAACATAATAAGCAATCATTGCCTCAATATGAATTATTTGTTTGAGTTGAGATACTTGATTAGTTGAGTAGTCAAGCTATTCTCCAAAGCACCTGAAGGCAGGACAAGGAACGAAGGACGGAAACTAAACAAAGAGAGAAGCAACCTAGAACGAAGAAGAAATTTCCTGACAGTTAGAACAATTAATCAATTTGCCTCCAGATGTTGTAAATGCTCCAACACTGGGGGTTTTAAAGAAGAGACTGGATAACAATTTGTCTGAAGTAGTGTAGGATAGACTGCCTAAACAGGGGGGTTGGACTAGAAGACCTCCAAGGTCCCTTCCTGTTATTTTATTCTAACTTGAGTTAAAGACCCTTGGCCTGAATGTTTAGACTAATTTAAGTGATTAATTTAAGTGATTAACTGTGATCATTTGCATTCACTATTTTTAAATCTACACTCACTGTGCAGCCTTCTGAAACAAGACCAGGCAGTCTATAAAGTGATCAAACTGATCATTTTTGAGTTGAAAATCATTCACATTTGAAACGGTTTAGCTATTGCTAGATACAATCCATGTCTTTGCTTGAAAATATGTCCCCCCCCCCCCCCCCCCCCAAACAAAACAAAACCATCCCATTAAGTTAGGGTGGTAAAGACCATTTTGGGAATCCTATATAGGTTAGCACATTCCTACAGAAGAAAACTATGATGTACCCAATGAATCTGAAAACAAATTCTTTGTCCCCACTCACATACACAACCATTTCAGTTTGATTGGCAAGTCACTTGTGTTCAGCAGGAAGCCCCTTCTGATATTCAGTTTTTGAGATGTAACAGAAGTATTGTGCAAACCAGGCTGAATAAATCAAAACATGTTGCTTTTGTGACCTCCAAGGAAAATAGGGTTTGCAGAAGAAAGCTATGCCAAAAGTTATGTTAAAAGCAACACACCCAGTGCATTTAAAATTCACTTTCGGTCACTGAAACCTCTCACGTATGGTTGCATTAAGGGAGAGTGGGCAATCAATTAAAAGCAGGGGAAAATAAAACAGAAGAAACACGACTCTTTTAAAGCTTTATGAAAATGGGATAATCATCTCTCAAGGTGATATCCATTTAATACCAATTTATCTAAAAGATATACGGAGGCATCAGTTCCTATGCTTAGCTTTTAAAAAAGGTTAAATCAAATGGAACAAAAGAAGGCTGGAGTCTTGAAAATGTGAGATGTTACTGAACACAGAATACATTCAATACATTCCTGGATAAAATGCTTGGATTAATTATTAGAGATATTAAAAAAAAAAATGATGATCCAGAAAAAAGGAAGATTGTCTGCTTCCATTACCAAATTCTCAGTGAATCCAATTTAAATGTAAACTATTTTTGGGGGTGGGCGGGGAAATGAACCTTCCTTTGAGATTAATAAAACAGTCTGCTTCTTTCTTAAAAAGGCAAAACAAGCATGAAGGATAATATTTGTAGCTCAGGGTTGAAATGAGGGGTCCTTGATGCTCTCTGAACTTGATTGTTTTCTCGCAGACGTTTCATGACTCAAACTACGTAACATCATCCTGCTAGCACTGATGACGTTACCTAGCATGCGCGCGCCTCCCAGCTGATTTTCGGCCCGTTGGAGGCTGTTTTCGCCCTCCCGGAGGCTTGAAGGAAGCCTCTGCAGCCTCAGGAGGCTGAAAAACAGGCCTTCTGGAAATACCGGAAGTGCCAAAACGGGCCCGTTTTCAGCCTCCTGAGGCTGCAGTGGCTTCCCTCGAGCCTCCGGGAGGGCAAAAACAGCCTCAGACAGGCCATAGATAAGTTGGGAAGCGCGCGCATGCGCAGTGCAGGTAAGGGGGCAGGGCGGGAGTGTTGTACACACATGAGCAGGGGGTGGGGCACATTGCATTGTGGGTGCCGGCACACACATGCACGCTATTGCACGCACACACGCTTTCAGCACACCACAACAAAAAGGTTCGCCATCACTGCCATATAGCATACAAATTTCATCGGCGGCTTGCAGGGGTCTGTATCTTCGAATACTTCACAACATAAGAAGTTCTAAGCCCACAACAGGATAACCTACTAGAATGAAGGGATCTGAGCCAAGTCAATGCATTCAGTTTCGTTTGTTTGAGTATTTGGAAGGTGTGACATCCTCTATGCAGCCTGAATCGCTTGAAGTTATAGCCAAAGTAAGCAATGCACCAGACAATGAGGTCATAACATCTCCCATCATCATCTATCAACAGCTTTATCTTTTTTGGCTTCTTTCTTCCTTACTCCTCCATTAACCGCTAGAGGGAGCAACCTCATTGCAAAAATAAAAAGGGGGGGGGTGTTGAAAGCATGAGAGGACGGTCCCTTAATTTGGGGATAATTTCTCAAAGGTGGAAACTGCTAATCTTGCTAAAAGCTAATCAGATCATGATGCACTGTATTACCAATACTTTCCAGCAAAGAAGAAGAAAAAGAGAACGTATTTATATGAACCATCGATTACCAATTAAATTACCTTGTGGGAGGTAGAGCTGTTAGTCTAGGTGTCTAGTAGCACGTTTTACTATTAATTAATACTTAAATTTTATTTAAGGCATCAGGTTTCATATGATGCATCGAATGAAATGAGCTGTAGCTCATGAAAGCTGGTGGCTTTTAATAAAAAATGTCTTGGCCTGAAAAGGGGCTATCAGACTCCTTCTGATTTTCAATTCAGTCATAATCCCAAAGGTGCTTTTTTTCTCCTCCCAAAAGGCAACTGGACTTTCTTTGCTTTCCTTGAAGACTTTTTGCTTCTCATCCAAGAAGCTTCTTCAGTTCAGTTCACTTCCGTTCTGAGTGAAGTGAAGTGAAGAAGCTTCTTGGATGAGAAGCGAAACATCTCCAAGGAAAAACAAAGGAAGTCCAATTGCCTTTTGGGGTGGGAAAAAAAGGACCTTGGGGACAACTATGACCTGGATGACTAAGAATATCCGTAGATATTCAGTTAAATCATAGTTATACTTTTTTTTTTTTTTTAGTCCAATTGCTTAAATGTTACCAGTTACTCTTTCTTGATCTGATTCCCTCTAGATACACTGGAGTTGCAGTCTAATCCCAACATATCTAGAGGTGTCAGTTTGGAAGAAGCTGATATGGATCTTTGATTACTCCCGAGTAATCAATAGCATTGGAGATTCTCCCCTTTCTTTTCAGAAAAGTGACTTCACTCACAAACGCCCTTTTCCTAGAATCCACCAATTTATGTTTTCGTCAATATGGTAAAACACCGTGTCTGCACTGAATCAACTTTTGAATGTAAAATAGAAATCTTCACAACCAGATGTGCCTCCATGTTAAAATGATATGCTTGTCTAGCACTAAAATT